TCCGCCAATTCCAAAGAACAACCTTGAAGGCGTCACGGAGCGTGCAGACTAACAAATGTTAACTGATTAATACCATTCAAGTGAGCAAGTCTCACTGTACAGTTTACTCTTGTTCTACACAATATATGCTATGCTCAACCTCTGGAAGGAGATAACACTTTAGCAAATACAAATCCCGACTTTTGAATTACAATTTAAATGGAAATGTATGATTTAAGTTCAGACCTATAAACAGGTCTTAAGTGTCAATGCAATCTAAATTCAACAAGACCAATAATGGATTTTTAGAAAGATTACTCACCTGGAACAAGATTAAGACACCACTAATACCTATTTAATTAAAGAAAAGGCAAAAATCCCTCACACCCGGAGATAAATGACTGAATTAGAAGGCAGAGCATGTTCACCGAACAACAACGCTTTCCTGTGCTCACAACGACTCACTATCAGGATTTCATTATCAATTCTAAGACCCGGCTCAAAATTAAATATCTTTTGACCTTCACACTGAGTCAAAACAATTAACTATGGCACTGATTTATTTGCTTTTGTGAGAAACTAGCAGCTTATTGAGGCTCCCATCACCAAATATCTGTACCGGCAGACCCGCGCTTTTGTCAGTCTTCAACAAATGTCCTAATTAACTGGTCTAGTCTGAAAAGTTAAATGGAAATGGAAAAGTTCCCATTCCATGACCGTTTGCATGTAATAAAAAAAAAAATCACTGTAGTCCACAAAGATATGCAGCAGTTGATTAGTAATTGATCAATAACACAAAAAGTGTTTGACGTGTTTGCAACTGTGAGTGTGACTTTGGTTTACATTTGTTTGGTCGACCGACATTTACAAGACAAGACAGCAGAAGGAGAACTACCATCGACTGATAAAACAAGATGCTGAGGTAAATACAATTGTTCAAATGGAGGGAACAAAATACTTCTTTCATAAGCGCAAAGCAGAAAAGCACACAAAAATGAGCTTCTTTTGTGATGTGTGGTTGAAAAGCACTGGGCAGGCAAAAGACATTGCTGCCGGTGAAAGCGCTATGGTTACCGGTAGCACCGAACAAAACCCTAACACCCTGTTCTATCCTGTGTTTCACTTCCTGCTGTTGGTCATGAACGCTGAAATGTAAAATGCGTTTTAAGCACAGTGCTGAACATCTATCCTCTGAGAGAGGCCGTGATGTATAAATGCTCCACAAAAAAGAAGAAGGAAAAAAAAAAGCACACGCTTCAAGTAGACCTTGGGGTAGAAGCACTGCTCAGAAACATTAAGGGAATACTTACATCACACATCAGATCTTGATGGGTGAAATATTCAAGTTGAAAATCTTTCCTGGCGTGCACTGTCATTTTTACTTTTTTAGATCAAAATGATGGGACAGCGATCAGTGGAAACCAAACTCCCTTTGAAGCCTGGATTCAAACCCACACCAAAAATAAATTAAATGTTCTCTTAATTTGTTTTTTGAGAAGCAGATTTTGCTTTTGCTAAAACGTTTGTGTAGTATTTAGAATATGACAAACTATGCTGAATGGTCTTTCCCCATACAACCCTCCCATTCACTTGGGCTTGGGGACCCACATTAGGGGTCCACTAACGCTAAGAATGAGTTTGCGCCTCCTTCTGATCCCAAACAGGAGGCCTTCTGTGCATAAGTCAAATGTGTTAGCCACTACAGCATGGAGCCACATGAGTAAACTATTGATGTTTCTCACATGACGTCAAGCGCACATTGCCCGAGATTTGTCTCCCACACTGGGAGTAACACAGTCACCTGTTGCTAGGGTGACAAGTGTATTCCCCAACTGGTTGACAGCGGTTCCTCAGGGTTGCTGGTGCAATGCAACCTGCAAATGGAGACTGGAGAATGGTTTCCCTTCAAAGTAAAAGTTGTGCCAGTCATGTGGTTGGGTTCGGTCACAGAAAAAACTACGTGCTACAGACACTCACACGTTACCTGAATTATTTTTATATTTAGATTTCCCATTTCTGCAGTAGTTCGCTAAAATTAGGTTACAATGAAAAACATTTTTGATTCACATTATGTGAATCATCTGTGATTTCTCTAACAGGCTGGTCAGTGCAGATTTAAACTTCACTCAAACAAACGTACCGGGTGGTTGTTGTGGAATATTTCCAGGTTTGAATTGATGTGCATTCTGTGCGCTAATGAGCATTTACTGTGTCTGTGGTATCGACTGTGCAGCGTGTATGTGTGTGGTAATGACAGAAGTGTCACCATGTGCAATTGTGTGACTTAGTGATGTATTTTTAATAGTCTGTGGAAAACAATGAATGCTCTGTGGCGAAAACAAAAGGTCTCTAGCATTTAAGATAGCATTTCCTTTAGTGGGATCAGTTGTTTGGTCTTTTTGTGAGGTTTGTTAACATGAAAAATGCAGCATATCATCCAATCCTCAAATGACATATTTTGTTGAGTTACGTCTACAGTTATGCATGTAATGAAAGTTCCTCCAGTTATGAACAGGATGACTAGCTGTTCGCAATTATCCGTAGTTTCTATTCCAATCCTAATTTTTTTCTCATGCTGTTTTTGAAAGTTGTTTCATTTTCTTTGTGCCTTGCTTTGCCCCAGTCTGTCTCTCACTGCTCTGTGTCAAATCTAGTTCTTTCTTTCAGTGTAGTCTTTCATTTCATTTGATTCCTGCTTTATTTTGAAGGTTAGTTCCTCTTGTGGCTTTCTCTTTCTTTTTTACGTCCTTTCTTTGTTCAACCTTGTTATTGTCACGATTGACTTCACCTGTACCTTGATACATGCATGGTTTCTTTCAGTCTTTGTGTGCCTGCCTAGTGTTCCTGGATTGTATTGCTTTTAGATGTGGTTTAAAAATTGGACAAACTTGTGTTATAGTACATTGTTTTTATTATTGTTTCTGTAAGTAACAATAGGACTCCTTCCCTTTACCTTCATGTCCCCAGCGCTGAAGTTTCCTTCACAGTTTCATCCTCTTTCTACGGTATACACTCTAGTTATGCTCCATCTTTTTCCACAGGAAATCAATTATAGTAAGGACATGTTTTCATGACAGTGCACGATTACACTGAAGATGGGGCAAACTTTAAATCTCTTGACTCTTGACCTTTTTGATTGTAGCAGATGTGCATTTATATGGCTCCAAATGATTACGCTCATTTTGGCTCTGACGGGTGCAATTAGCACTGGGCTTATTAGAGGAGCGAGTCAGTTCAGACCCTGTCTTGTGTCAAAATCACAGTCAAATTATGCGTAAAACTAATTACCATCAAAAGGTCATGACCTTTAGTGGAGGAAAAAATATTGCTGTTAGGTGCTGAAACACAACTTATACCTGCACTGTGTGCATCTGACTAGGAGTCTGCAGGAGGACCTCACTCATATCCTTTACTTCCCTTGAATTTCTATAAAGAATTGCATGACACTCTAAAGTAATACCAGTTGCCCTTTAAATTATTCGCTTGAACCTTTACCATTCAATCATGCAGTGGAGTTAATTAAGCTATACCAAGAGTAATAAAGAAGATAGATGACATTCGGTCATACACGCACACGCCGACTCTGTGACAACAACTGCAGGTTGGTAAGGTCAGAGTCCGACAATTGATGGAACTGTCATCCTATCATAGTGGAAATTCACCAGCAGAATCAGATCACGGATTGACCTCCTGCTGGTCCAAGGAACTAAACAAATGGCCTGAGGCACATTGGTGGCCTTGTCCCCAAACACCAAACCTCAAAATCTAATCTGAGCTAGTGATCACTCTTTTGCCTTTAATGTCATGATTTACTCCTGTCAAATAACTGGCACATAAAGTAGGCACTTATTGACTCAGTCCTGCTAGAAATATGAGGTCCAGAGGCTTGTCAGTTAGACTCATCAAGATCCATCAAACAATCTGTCGTCCTCCTGGTCGGAAATCAGTATGATAGGGCCATTAAAAAAACATTAATCTGCAAAAGTGATGGTGCTGACTTTGCATTTCTTCATGAGTGGGTGTGCTGTTTTTGTTCTCTGAAGTAACGGAAAGTAAAGTTTCATCAGCTAACCCTTGGGGCTCCTTAATGGCTACTTTCAGCTGCTCTGCGTTTCTGAAGAGGCTATAAAACTTTGTGACAGGCCTGTGATACAGTTGAGTATCACTCGATGAAGTTCACATCTAACCAATGACAGTGATACTGAGGTGAGTGAGTGAGCATATCCTGAACTTTTCTGTTGCTAAGCTGTTTTTGCCACTGTTTTCCTTAGCTCATGTTAGCTAGAAGTTTACTGGAAATTTACTTTGCTTTGATGTGGAAGAAACCTAACCTTTTCAGATTAAGGAAATTTGTAAATAATCTCATATGAAGTTTAACGAACTGTTTACCAGAGGGTAAATGTGACTTCTAGGACACGCAAGTGTAGCATTAGCTGCCATAATTTTTAGCTAACAACTATGTACTGTTATCTAGGTTTGTATGAGATGGTCTGTTGTCTAATGTCTGATCCACATTACTAACTCTGACAATATTACAAATAAATAAGCACCTTTATGCTAATGCTGTTGGGCTATAGAGGGTTAAAAGAGATTGAATGGTCACTTAGCTAATAAGCCATTAGCATAAAACCAATGTTAATGCTCAAACTTGGCTAAGAAGTTTAGTTGAGTCTGCAGAACGTACAACCAAGACCCGAACCTTCCACTTCATCACCGTGCCTGTACTCCAAGACACCTCAGAGGAAAACCTTGATCTTTCTCCTCCACTGCAGTGAGTTTAGCGCTTGCTGTTTGCCTACTGTGCAGCCATTTATAGAGTAAACGCCAGTCAACACACAAATAGCACCTCAGAGATAACTTTCTCCATGTTAAACATGTCATGAAGAGCAGCCCACTATGTTATCCTTGTTTGTGACTGACATGTTTTTCTCTTTCTCCCTCTATTTTTACTTTTTTTTTCTCCAATGGAAGCCAAGAAGGCTCAAATGCTCGCCTAAAGAAAATAGAAAAAATAAACTCACATGCGAAGGTTAGACTGGCCTCTCGGCTAACGATGGTCCCGAAAGAGTTGGAGGCGAGGCACTGATACGTTCCAGCATCTTGGTCTTTGTTCAGATGGCTGATTCTGAGGTTGCCCCCAGAAAGGCTGTAGTGAGATCCAGTTTTGGGATTTATTTCCGTGCCGTTCAGTCTCCATCTAAAAAAGAGAGAGAGAAAAATGAACATGTAAATTTAACAAATTAAACACTGTTCAGTGTAGACTGGGGCAATGGAAGTACGCCAGAGCACAAGAAGAAGAAGCAGAACGTGACTTGTATATTTGATTGTTTTTCAACAAGAGAGAAATGAAAGGTGGAGAGGACCCAGAAATCATGCCCTCCAGCTTAGTGTTAATCTAAGCAGCAGTGAACCACTATGGTGCCAAGGACTTGACTCCCTGAGAATAGATAGCATTTCAGGCCATCCATCTTGCCAGACCCCAGTCAGACCGCATAAAAATCCTGCTTAATCATTATGGTACAACAATTAAAACGATGCCTGCAAGCTCGCCTTCACACTCGTACATTCTAGACCCTTCCACTTGATTATCATTGGTGTTAGGAGTGGGTGACTGGGCGGGACCAACGAAGGGTATAATTCACTTAAAATGGCAACAGACTCTCCAATCTCTCCACACAGATGCACCTTATTAAAGAAACACAGGTGGGAGAAAAATCAGTCATTTCAGAAAAATGGCTTCAAGCCATAACTCGCTTCAACCAAGGCAAGAAAACCTAAAACAGACAGAGAAACGAGCTCATACATTGCCATTTGTTATTGATGTTGTATAACTATCTCAGCTGTAAAAAGGTACAGCACAGATAAACAAGCCTGAAAAGAAGATTTAATATGGCATTGGATAATGGACTACCCGGATCTGATTTGGGCTTTGAGGGGTTTTGTAGCTGATTATTTCTTTGAGGAGTTTTAAAATTTCTTTTGCTTTGATTTAAAAAAAAAAAAAGTTTCTCTGAACGATTTCCCATTCAGCTGGAAAAGCAGAGCATTGTTTTCCGCTGAAAAAAGAAAGCAGCTTTGATGTGAAAAAAGGGGCTTTGCTAAAGCCCCCTTTTGTACAAGAGACAGAAGTTGCACAAAGCTGTTTGGGGGTACTGTCTTAACTTTCCTTGTTATGCCAATTTGGAGCCTTTGAGGCATAATAACCTTTCTAAGAAAGCACTGATAGTGGCGTTGTGGAATTTTCTTGCTGTATTGTCTTTTGTAGCATAATGTGGCTTATAGAATACACTCGTTTGCCTTCAGTGGCAGGGAAATCCAACTTATGTGGTCCCCTGGACAAAGACACCTGTAGGTACAGAGCTTCCTTAAGAAACAAGTAGGAGCTGTTTACATGAGAAACAGTGTCGGGTTGTGCTCCTTAGCCGCCTACACACACACAGACACACACACAGACACACACACACACACACACACACACACACACACACACACACACACACACACACACACACAGCCACAGCAGAATAGTTGTTGGCTGGGGCATTGCTGCACTCACAAAGAGCGTCTGCAGACTTTTATTCTTTTAATAGACCAAATGTGTAGCACAATGGTCTTTCATGGCACTCCTCCAGTTCACTCATAAGTAAGTGCACATTCTCAAGAGCCTTGTTACTACACACAATAGAGAAGAGCCTGAGGAGGGGCGGCTGCGGTCTCACAGGACTACAGCAGAGATTCATTTGCAGCTGAAGCGGAACAAACTAAAATCAACATAAATATGTCCCGGCTAAGTCCCACCTTCGAGTGGAACAGGAGCTGAACGGGTGGGCAGTGTGAGGCGACGCGGCAAAAACCTCAATATCGCCCTCTGATAGCGGCTTCCTGTGAGGTTGAAAAGGCATCCCATCAAATATGAAAGCAGCCTTTTCACAGTCGTAATTGCTCGGAGAGGCTCGGCATTGTATTTGCAGTCAAACGGCTTAATCGGTGACAGCTTGAAAAACCAAACGCTGCAAAAGATTTTCCCTGCCAGCCGTCGATTCGCCGCTTTATCTGGGCCTTTCGAAAACATTAGCCTGGATAGCTAATTGAGCCTGGAAAATGTTTTGATGTATCTGAGTGAGTAATCATGTCTCTTGTTGAAAATGAAGAATTTACCCAGTCAGAGGCAGACATTGTGTATTCCTAAATGCGCCATGTTGTGTGGTCGTTAAACATAGTAGTAGTTAAGGATAATTGCCCGCCCAAAGCCTCCGTTGTTCTTTTGTGACAAATTATACGGCCTGTGACAGCTCTTGTCACTTTAAGCCAATTAGAACTTTAAACTTTAAAGCAGTTAAGTGGCGGATATTCAAATATTTCTGTATAACACCAGATAAAGCCGGCGCGGGGACCATGATAGAAGGTAGCGTGGCGGGAGAGACGACGCTCGTCATGGTGCCACTGAGTATCCTCCACGGGTAGCAGAGCAACAGATTACATCAAACACATGTAAACTCAATTAATAATTCTATTTACAGTGATTTATGATGGCAAGCAGGCCACAACAGCAGTTCCATTTGTTAGGCACATGCTTTATCCAATCATGTAACAACAGGCCGTGCACACAGTGGCATAATACCACACCATCTGGCTTATGAGGCTGTTAATGTTAGGCGGTCTGTTCTTTTTCTTAAGCCTGGTGCTTAAAAGTGCTTAAAAATTACTACTTTGTGTTACGGCCATGCAAACATCACACCACCGTGGGACACTATAAAGTTTTAAAGTACACACTCTTGGATTAGAAATGGAAAGAATATCTCCTCGTCATCTGAGGTGTGGCGTAAACTATAAATAATTTACAGGTGTTTAAAAAAATGACAGGAAAACATGCCTGCGTGTGATTCAGAGCTCCAGAGCTTTAAATACCTCCTGACTAGCTTATGTGCTTTTTCAAAAGGTGTTGTGAGTCTGTTCTTTATCGGACGGTGCTCTCTGTTTTGTTCGGTGAACTGTAACACGGCCCACGCAGTCTCCAGATTTGATTCCTCTGTGGCTGTTTATGCAAAGGTCAAACCACAGAACGACTAGGAGAGTTTGTAGCTGAACACCACTTTGGTATTGACACTGGGAACCTCGCTTATCTGCTGGCCTGCAATTACGTGGGCGCCCAGCAGTGATATACTTGAAGGCATTGAGGCCAAAGTTTGAATATTAGAGGTGGAAGCTACAGCACCTGGATGTTCTGTGTGGGTTCTCAGTCATCCGAGTCATGGTTGTCTCGAGAGCTTGAAAAACAACCGGTTCCCAACCTGAGCCTCCCTGAGCCTGGTTCTGCCGGAGGTTTCTTCCTGTTAAAAGGGAGTTTTTCCTTCCCACTGTCGCCAAAGTGCTTGCTCATAAGGGGTCATATGATTGTTGGGTTTTTCTCTGTATGTAATATTGTAGGCTCTACCTTACAATATAAATCCCCTTGAGGCGACTGTTGTTGTGATTCAGTGCTTTATAAATAAAACTGAATTGTTCTAGAACTGAAGAAGCTTCCTGAAGGAGTGGCAAAAAATCTTCAAAGATCTAAAGAAGTCCAGTGTTCCACTTTTTTAGGCTCTAAAGAATAGCACCTGAATACTCAAGTGTCTTTTTCCCTCAGTCCATAACAGGTAGTCTGAGTATTTAGGCCATACCAATATAACTTTAGAAAAAAAGCCCCATTCTACCAAAAGTTTAAGATTTTAGTTAGATAGCTTAGCAGTGTTTTGAAGCTAGGCAGCAACCCAGAGTCTCTGCAGGCAGTGAGAAGGAGGATGGCAGCTGTGTCATATAAATGGCTCCAATGAGAGGTGTAGTGTCTTGTGTACCAAGGCATATGGCGTCTACTTACGTCTGGGTAGGGGGGATTTATTGTAAGACTATAAAAATAGCCTGCACTGTATCGACGCACAGTCAGTCTAGTCAGTCATATTAAGGCCAATCAATGTGTTCGATAAAAGGAAGACAAAGAGCTGATTGATTTTCTAGTTTCATTTTATTTAACCTGTGATGTATACTGCTACCCTGACATTTCTTTCCTCACTTTAGTCTTAAAACCGTCATGTGGCCTGATAAAAGTGCCAAAAATCTGGAGTAACGTCGTCTTAATGACACTCGTAGCTCATTCATAGCTCACACAGACGCGAGCAAGAAAAGCCAACACGTCAGCGGACTTTGAAACTTTGTCAGTGGTTGTCTGACTTGATTACAGGCGTGACTGCTGTGAGCTAAAGGGAGATGAGTATCCAGAAAGACATGAGACATGCCTTTAAAATAGCATGTGACTGTGCTGAAGTGATGGGGGAAGTGTTCAGATTAGCAACATAGTCTATGAATATAGAAAGAATATAAAAAACTCCATCAGAAGTAAAAATTGTGAGTTATAATATTTAAGGAAACAGCAAGTATAATTAGAACTACTCGTGATTTGATGTTAGGGCATCATTACTGCTGTGGCTGTGAGATGGCCAAGAAGTTAACCTTGACTAGGATGGATTTCCATTACAAACCCTTTTGCATCGGCTTATTTCTACTCTTGTTACCAAAAACTGAACCAGTCAGTGTTTTCTTTTGGAGCAATATTCAATCAGAAAGTTCTTCAAAGAAAAAAGAAAAACACAAAAAATGCCACAACTGATTTATATGTGGCTGATCTGGTCAAGTCAGTTTTTGTGCCGCTCTGCACTCTTCATGTTTTTAAAATGCTTCAGGCTTGGCCAGTGTTGGTTCCTCAACTTAAAAACGATGTTCCTGGTTGTAACCAGCCGTAATCGCCAGTGATGATTCTTGACGTCTAAGTCAGATCAGTTTGGCACAGACGTTAATGCCTGCTCTATGTACGAGATCAGGTCCCTTTTTAAATCACGGGAGAGCTGGACCTAAGTGGAGTGATTGAAAAGGGGTCCAGCTGTGCACAAGGTTACAGCCTTGAAGGGAGATTAGCTAAATGGTGGTTTTTATTTATTTTTACGGGCAGACTCACCTTGCAAATGTAATAAGGTACATGCAAAAGCACCAGTCTGTCAGCACGAGTAGGTGCAGTTAGTGCAATAGACTCAGCTGATGATGGGTGTATTTCATTCGCGTCAGACAGAGCAGGTTAGCTGTATTTTCGGTGTTTATGCACCAAGTTAAGGAGCTGCTGTATTTATTTGCAGTGTTTAAGTTTCTGGATCACTAATAAAGATTTAGGTCTTTTTGTCGAGTATGCTGTGTAATAGGAATTTCAATCAGCTGGGGTTGCAGTTATTCTTTCATACTTTAAATATCACTTTTAGAACCCAGAGTGCAGAGTGACGTGTCAATTTTCTCATCTAACTCTTACAAGGAAGAAAGTCTGTTTTTGAGAAGTGTCGAATTATTAATGCTGTGTTGCTATATTATTATTATCGGCATGTTTAACCACACGCTTGAGTGCCTGAAATTCGATTTATTAGCTACAATCTTCCTCTCCTCTTCATCTGGATTTGCTGCAGACAACACTGTGCACATGTCTCTGCTCCATGTAAACACTGCGGCACGAGCTGTCAGAGTTTACAGCTGTGTGACACGCAATTAATGAACTTTGAGTATGATTTAGTTCCTGTCTGTGTGTGTGTTGCAACACGTCTGTAAGAGGCAGCGGCAGCTCTGACAGGACCACACAGCGACCTTGACAGGAAACAGCTGATTAGGTCATTCTCTAAGCTGGCTAAGTCCCAAGTATTAAATGTACTACTGCTTCCAAATGGCTCTACAGTAATTTCAGTCAGCAAATACAATAGATTTCAACTTTTACTTACAACGAAACAACCTTTCAATAGACTAATGGTGGAGGTGAGGAGGAAATAAAGAGAGACATAAAAACAGGGATCTCTGTGAACTCTGCAGCAGAGAGAAGACGTCTGAGAGGAGAGCAAGCGGAGATTAGCATGCATTCACAGACTACAGATTGGCAACACATGTTTCCGGCAGGGGGTAGAAGGAAAAATCCACCGTAAAACAGAATTTATGTAATATATGCCTATGATCCTGATCAGCTTAGACTTGATTTTTCATGGATGAACAAGTAGAACCAGAACCAAGACTATGTTGTTGATGCATCAGGAGAGTAATCCTAAGAGCGGTTACATTCACAGTGGACAGCAGCTGGAGTTCCACATCTGTACACCTGTACAAGGTATGCACACGTCTTTTAACTATCAGGAATATGCTCAACATGTAAGGCGTTTAAACATGTTCTGAATCCACGATGGCCAAATCTAATTCAATGTCAATGGAACAACTTCGGGCTTTGCTGATTAGAAATTTGCTGCTTTCTGGTTCACAGACGACATGTATGTGTGAGGATAATGTGTGAGGATAAGTCTCATGTAATGATTTACTCATCAGTTGAGCCTTTGGAATTTGTCACGTGTGATATTTGATTTGTACTTTTAAAAGACGTCACTATCACTGCCAAATTGACAAAATATGAGATTAGACCTTTTTCTCTTTTTATTTATGGGTTCCTACCCTGAACATCACATCTATTTACCCCAGAAACAAACAGCTTTGATTCAAAGCAGTAAGAAGAAGGATATATTGCACTTTCTGTAAAAAATATATTATTATCAGGGAAAAAGATTAAATGTCCACAGACTAAATAACGGTTCTACGAAGAGGGGAGACATGGAGATAACAGGTGTTAACAAAAAGCAAACTGCCTTTTAGCGCAAAGAATCAGGTGACTGTTCTGTACAGAAATGCAAGTGTGCTGCAGGATTTGTGGGCACACGAGTTTTGCCACAGTCCTCTCTCAGTGGCATTTTCAGCTGCCAAAATGCGACGGGGGACTGCTGAAGACAAAATGGAGACATTTGTCCGCGACATGATGTCAAAAAAATTGAAAGATATTGAGACTATCACTTGTATAAAAGCATGCAGCATCAACAGGGAGAGGAGGAAGAGAGAGATAAAGGACTGCAGTCACGCACTCACCGGTACATGGGAGGTGGGCTTCCCTCGGCCTCGCAGCTGAACACCACCTCTCGGTTTTTCTCCACATTCTCCACAGGATACACGATGCTGCCAGGCTGCTTGGTAAAGACGGGGCTCTGTAGGACGCTGCTCTCTGTGGGACAGCAAGGAAAGACAAAACTTATCCACCAGCCTGTTTGCCAAGCAGCCAATTAGTCAGCGGCAGAAACAGGTTATTGCTGCTTTAAGTCTTTGAGAGGGCAAAACCACAAAGCAGGAAAAACATATCAATTTGAACTGCCTGTCACGACACCGAGCACAGGGAAGAATGATTTGAAGTGAGACGTGTCTTCAGCTTCTATTTAGGTGGTAATAGGGTATAGGGATAGATTTATGTTGGACTATTATCGAGAAAAATGTTTGCATTTGCTTCAGACAACTCATTTTTATTTGTTAATTTATTTATTTGCCCAGTGATGTTAGGATCATTTACCCCTGCAGAGGTGCAATCAGTCAGTTTCTCTTTGTTGTAAATGGCACAAAAGAAGTCTTAGTTACTTCGTTAAAGCAGCCGTTAAGGCCGCTTGAGGAAAGCAATTCGTATTTCTTTGTTGCAAATCGCAACCAAAGTCAGTCGGAATCAGTCGGTTCCATCTGATATCAGTGAGCTCAGGTTTTTATGGAGAGGTGCTATTTTATATTGAATGTTTTGCCAAATTGCAAAGAATAATGGTTCTGTAAAAAAGTAAAAAACCCCAAAACAAAACAAAACAAAAAAACCCTCTAAAAGCAAAGAAAATCATTTTTAATTTATAAGCCTGTCTCTCTTTAGACGTCTGGGCTCATAGCCGCTAAAATCATTTAACCTGAACACTGTTGCTGGTAGAGTAGCTGAAGGAATTTCTTTTCTTTTATTTGTATATTGTAACCAAACAAAAGACAGACTGCAGAACAGCTTGTGACATCAAACATTTACAATGAAGGTACACAAGGCTAAAATTGTGAGATAAATTATGGAGGTGTATTTCACATCTGATGTGCTGTTGGGAGTGTACATATATATATGTGTGTGTGTGTGTGTGTGTGTGTGTTTAAAGGCATGCACGATTAATAGGTTAAGACAAATAAGAAACAGATATATAGTGTTGCACATAAATGAGAAGGGAACATAACCTCACACTGGTGAAGAGCTGGAAGCGAGGCGAGTCTTGAGGTTGCAGTTTTTAAAGCGACCCCCTGACCAGCATCCTGCTAAGACCCTCAGTCCAGCCCAGAGGCTTCATTATAATACACATACAGTTTCTGATGTTATGTTGCATCAGAACATAACATGGGAGAGTAAGCTGTGCTTGGTACTTTTATAATTTATATGGCAGGTATCCTGTATCTGCTCTTGTGTTTAATCCTTCCAACTCACAAAAGAGATTTCAATTCAGTTCAGTTTTACTTATATAGCACCAAATCACAGTAACTGACACCTCAACCTTTATATTGTGAGGTTAAGACCCTCCAATAATACTGAGAAAACCCCCAAAATTAGGCACGAGCAAGCGATTTGGTGAACGTGAAAAACGAAAAACTCCAGGTTAACAGGGAGAAACATCGAGCAGAACCAGGCTCGGGGGGGGGGGGGGGGGATCTGCCACCTGCCACAACTGGTTGGAGCTAAGGGGAAGGACAGAGGAAAAAATGTCACTGTGGGTTCAGCATGTAGAAAAAAAAAACCGAAACCAAACCTTCCTAAACAGATGAAGAAACTGAGATCACGAGCTAATGCTCAATATTCTGTCACACAGATTGGTTCTTCCTTGGCCTAAGCTCCGCCTCTTTACCTAGTTTTATCATGTAGTTTGGTAGTTCAGGCATAAAAGTGGTTTGACAGACAAACAGCGGTTATGTTTACAGAAACAAACAGCTACATTACAGAGTTTTAAAAAAGAAAGAAAGAAAAACAGAAGAACACAGCGGGTGAACTTTTGTAGCTCAGTCCTCAGTGTTGTTGAAAAATGGGCTATATTTAAGTCTTCTTATTACTACTTCTGATGCATGATTCACACTTCACTGCAGATATCTACATAACGTAGCATTTTCTTAATATTTGAAAAATGGAAGGAAATACAAACCATTAAGTGAAACATGTTAGCTGCCGCCTTGAACCTTGCTTTCTTTTTCTTTTACTTTCAGAAACCACAAGAGAAACTAAGCACAGGTCAACATAAAGTGGAAATTACTTATACTCTGCTTATGTTTTTAATACTTTAAATGTCCATGAAGGTTCTTAGTTTAAGTTTAATGCTTAAGCTATCATTATCCAGGCAATCTAACTAAAGTCTTGATATCAGCAAAGAAATATGAATCATGCTAAGAGCAAACATGTTGCATTTTGGGGCAGATTTAAAGCTGTCAGTCAGTCTGTGTGTTGTGTAGTGTATGTGTGCTGTGATTCAGACACTCTTGAGTTTCACAGTCTATAACGTTTTTCTATTGTTCTTTTATCTGTTTTGCTGATAGAGAAGATGACGCGATTACATCTCCACAGCAACCCTTAGCGGGGGAAGAATGTAAAAGTGGTGGTGACAGGTGCTATACGTATGATTGAATGGGACCAACAACAGTTTATGTCACAGTATTTGTGTTTCAGGTTCTGAATTAATATTCTTTGATTATTGTTATTCATGGTTTTTGTTATCTTTATTTCTTATGTTCTCACTGATCTCAGTTCTCCCTCCCTCAGTGTTTATCTTAGTCTTTGTTTAGTCTCTGTTCCCGTGTCCCTGTGTTAAGCTTGCATGTCTTGAGTCTGGGTTTCGGTCTGTGTGTCTTCCTGTTTTATTTTGATACTTCCTTTTCCTTAGTATTCAGTTTTGCTTCCTCCCGGTCTCATTATGTTAGATTAGTCCCTGCTGTGTTTCCCTGCTGTTTCTAATTCCCTCGTTACTCCCTTGTGTATTTAAGCCCTGTGTTTTCCTCGGTCTGTTGTTGCATCATTAACCATCATTTACCCTGTCAGTACTAGAGATGGACCGATCCGATATTACGTATCGGTATCGGTCCGATACTGACCTAAATTACTGGATCGGATATCGGAGAAAAATAAAAAATGTAATCCGATCCATTAAATATCACGAAAGCACCTCACAAAACTTGCAACACGCCGTAACTCGCCTCAGAACGTTAGCACGTCGGAGCAGTATGCATCACGTGATAGAGCGGCTGTGGCATGCGGGACCTGTCGGTGGTCTGGATAGCATGTGGAGCTTCGCTAGCAACCCGGCATTTCATCTCCGACAAAGTTATCCCCGAGAGAAGTAAAGCAAGTGTGTAAGTCCATCTCTGAATGTTTGTAAAGCATTCCTGCGTTAAGCTTAACAAGCGACTGCCTCTTCTTGCTGCTACTTCAATCATGAAACTGCTTAATGATCAGCTGATCGGCTTTTCTGTCGCGAGTCCATCTCTCTGGTTTGTTTTTGGCCCACTTTGCACCAGAAAGAGGAAACCAGCGGCTGAACAACAGCAGCACGTTTAAGCTTGATAAGCTGTTGTTAGAATTTATTTAATATTACTTTCTACACCAGGATCTTTTTCTACGTAGCTGACGGCTGGTAACTGTGCAGGGGCGGATCTAGCAAAGTTTAGCCAGGGGGGCCGATAGGGCATTAACAGGGAAAAGGGGGCACAAAGACATACTTTTCTTTCTTATTCTCATTTAAAATGTCTAGCTTTTAATAAATAATTATCTGACACCCAAAGTTTTAATTTGATGTAAAATGAATAGAAGTCAATTACTGTATATAGTAACTATTAAGTCTAATATATATACCCTAGTAAGCTATAGTACTTTTTCCTTTGGGAAGGTACCATCTGTGCAGTCTGCAATTTTGTTGAAGAAAGATGTTGAATCTATTTAATATTTCTTGAAAAATAATTGATTTCTGTGCATTTTTTTTCACACTGCATCAAATTAAGGTTGATTACGTCGATTAAGCATCATGAGGTGGAGCGTGAGGGGTGGTTCCCTATTTTTTATTTATTTATTTTTGTTGTTGCTGGGAGTTGGAACCCTATTAGTTAGGTTGCTTAATATTTATGCTAAGTACTCTTTAAAATACCAGAATAGGGAGGATGGTGTAGGTTTAAGTTTATTAGATTGATCAGTATTGCTGAACTATGAAATATTTTTTTTTTGCATACAGGTATAACAGAATAGCTTTAGTGTAGTTGTTGTTTTAAACTTGAGTATGAACTTATACAAAATGCAGCAAGATATTTAAAAAACAGTTTTGTTGATTAAAAAACACTATATCGGATTCATATCGGTATCGGCAGATATCCAAATTTATGATATCGGAATCGGTATCGGACATAAAAAAGTGGTATCGTGCCATCTCTAGTCAGTACTGCACGTGTCCTCTGTGCTCCTGACTAATTCCTAGTTCTCTGTTAGTTTTCTAGTTTGAGTTTCACGTTTCCAGTTTCTAGTTTTGTTTTCTTGTATTCGGTGTTAGAGATTTTCCCAGCAAATAAAGCTGCTGCTTTGAGTTTACTTTTCTGTGTACGAGTCCTGCATTTGGGTCCTTCATCCTGCCTGCCACAGCACAAACCATGACAGTTTATGAGACAGGCAGGGTGAAGATTCAAAGAGTTGAACAGTATCTGACATTACTTCTAGTACTCTGCAAAAGTACTTTGTTGTAATTTGTGGTCTTGAGCAACACGTCTCCAGGCTAAAAGTTTCCAGAGGAGTGTTGTTTTGTTTGGTTCTTAAGCCAACACTGACCTGCAAGTTATTCAATCATAATAAAGGAATGAACCAGAGGTGTGTCTACACATTTTACACCATTTTTTTTTTACACTAATTATAATTGGTATCCCTAGGCACTTTCTTGCTATTTCTTTAGCTGAATTTGTTCCCATCTATTCAGCTGAATGCATATAAAGCCAGTGATAAATGTGAAATTTGACAGGCAGGAAAGCTTTTTGCAAGAAAACTTGACTTTACAATTTTGTTGAAGAATAAAAGTGGTCATACCAAATCCTGACTTTATTCAAATAATATATATATCAAAAAACAACAACAAATATAAATATAAAGAAATGGTCAGTGACAACATTTCAAACTTGCACTGCAGGAATCTACCGTACATCTTGACCTCC